CTCTTGCACACCATGGCGTATATAAGGCTTCCAATGGCTGACGAATATGGAAACTTCATAATGTAATTTTTCTCCTCATCAGTCACTGGACACTGCTCCTTAGTCAACCTAAAATGACTAGCTAAAGGTGTGCTAACGGCCTTAGCACCGCTCATTCCAACCTCTCAAGCACCCGCCTAATGTAATCGGCCAGAGATAACCATAATGTGCCCAAGAGCTTGTCTCTGCTAATATTCATCCCCAATATCTGCTTTGCTGCGCCTAAGTCTTTCATGTCAAACTCACTCAACAACTGCTTCTTCAGCTTCTTGATCTCACCCAAGTCTGAACCGGCCACTAGCATGTAGCTGATGTCAAGTTTCTTGAAGAAACAACAATGATCTGCATTGCACCTGAAGTATCCGTTCCTATGCATGAATCCATCAAACTTTTTGTACCATTGTTTTGAAGCTTGTTTCAGACCATACCAGCTCTTTTTTTAATTTGCAGACCATCCTTTCTTTTCCTTTCTGAGTGAACCTTTCTTGTTGCTGCATGTATATTTCTTCCTCTAGGTCACCGTGGAGGAATGCTGTCTTCACATTTAACTGCTCGAAATGTAGATCTTCAGCTGCAACAATACTCAGAACCGATCTGATGGTAGTCACTTTGACTACATGCACTGTTATAAATAGCTGTAAATAACCCCGTAATAACGACGCTAATAGCATTAGCGGTCCTTTCCTGACGCTATCGCCTACTACACTATCGCGTAATAGCGGTGACATATTGCGGAATATGTCTGTTCACAAAAGCGGTTAATAGTGTGTCATAACGGTAAATAGTGAGCGATTGCATTCGAATTTTGTTTTTTGACTGCTATTTAAAAGCGGTTTGAGGCTTAATTTTTTAAAAATTAAACCCTAACCCTTGACCATTGTATTCCACCATCTCCTGTGATTTTCAGCATACTCCCGCCACCTCTCATAGCCTCTGACACCTATCTTGATACTTCCTCTCACCTCCTTCACCGTGAGCTCCTCTTAGGGCAGTCCTGTCATCGCTAAGCTATTCTTCTCAAAGACGACGACTTTTTGACTCTTTCAGTCATCTTCGGTATTACGTGATGGTTACATATTTATTTCATGTTTAGGATCTCTTTAAATCATCCAATATGTATTTTTAGATTTTTTAGATTTTTCTTTAATTTTTCTTTTTTAGTATTTATACATATCTAAATTAGACCGCTATTTGACTTTGCTTAGATTTTTCTTTAATTTTTCTTTTTTAGTATTTATACATATCTAAATTAGACCGCTATTTGACTTTGCGCTTTTTACCGTAAATTAGACCGCTATTTGACTTTGCGCTTTTTACCGTTATTTTACCGCAATAGCCCGAAATAGACTTAGCGATGTCTTACCGCTACGCGACGCTATCCGCTATCGATAACCTTGGCTACAGGAGAGAAGATTTCTATGTAGTCAACTCCTTCTTTCTCTTGAAATCATTTGACCACCAACCTTACCTTGTATCTCTTGGAACCATCATGTTCCTTCTTGATTCTGTACACCCATTTGTTACTCAAAGCTTTCTTTCCCACTGGTAACTTCGCAAGTTCCCAAGTCTTGTTAGAGTTCAGGGACTTTATCTCATCTTTCATAGCAAACTCCCACTTGCTTGCATAATCCACTCGACATGCTTCATCATAGCTTTCTGTCTCTCCACCGTCACTCAATAATAAGTAGTTCAAATGAGCTCTGGGTTGTAGTGATGGATACTTCAGATTTGGCTTTGGAACTCTTGCTGACCGTCTCAACTCTCTAACTGGTGAACCAACCTCTGCATCTACCTCCTCTGAAGTAGTTTCATCTCTACTTCAGCCTCTTCTCCTGCGGTCTCATCAGAACTAGCTTCAAAGTTGTTTCCTTCTGGAAGACTGGAACATCATTTGGCTCAAAGTATGTAGGTTATGACTGCACTAAGCTTGTGGACTTAACAGCATCACGGTCTTTGTATAGGATTGCTTCATTTGAATACAACATCCCTGTTTCTAATGACTTTCTTGTTCTGTTCATCCCAGAACTTATAGCCAAACTCATCACCACCATAGCCAATAAAATAACATTTCAAAGACTTAAGAGTCAAGTTTGTTTCTAACATGATCACTCAAATGAACATATGCAACACAACCAAAAACTTTTAGGTGAGAAAGGTTTACCTTCTTCCCGCTCCACACTTCTTCAGGTATTTTGTGCTCCAAAGGCACTGATGGTCCCCGGTTGATCAGGTAGGCAGCTGTGTTGACTGCTTCTGTCCAGAATTGCTTTGGGAGTCCTGCTTGAAGTTGCATGCTTCTAGCTCTTTTAGTCAATGTTCTGTTCATTTATTTTGCTATGCCGTTCTGCTGAGGTGTACCTGGCACTGTTCTCTCCAATCTGATGCCACTCTCATAGCAAACTTTCTTAAACTCCGAATCTTCATATTCGCCTCCATTATCTGATCGTAATTTCTTGACCTTCAACCCTGTTTCGTTTTCTACCATAGCCTTCCATCTCTTGAAGACTTCAAACACTTCTGATTTGTGTTTCATGAAATAGACCCAAGTCTTCATCGAGTGATCATCTATGAAAGTCACAAAGTATAACTTTCCACCAGTGGACTGTACTGATGCTGGACCCCAAACATCTGTGTGAACTAGCTTAAGCTTCTCTTCCTTCGGTGTTTTGCTAACTCTTTTAAAACTTATTCTCTTTTGTTTCCCGAAGATGCAACTTTCACATAAGTCAAAATCAGCAGACCTCAAACCTGGTAACTTTCCATTCGACTGCATAACCTTCAAGCCTTTGCTACTCATGTGACCAAGCCTCTGGTGCCACAAATTTGGATCTTCTTTACTTTCAACCACTGCAATGGATCTACATGCATTTGTCGTTATGTAGAGAGATCCACTCTTCGTACCACGGGCAACAATTATAGACCCCTTGGTAACCTTCCACGTATCACATGCGAAGGTTGATGTATATCCCTCCTTTGCCAACTGTCCTATGGAAATCAGATTCTTCCTTAAGCTAGGAACATGTCTCACATCATTCAGTTTCCATATAGACCCATTGAGTTCAATTTGCACCGCTCCTTTTCCAACTATATCACACAGTTGATCATCGTCAAGATAGACTTTTTCTAAGTTTCCTGAAACATAGTTCTCAAATAAATCTCTATTTTAGGTAGCATGAAACGAAGCTCCTGAATGCAGCACCCATGATTCTGTCTTGCTCTCCAACGAGCAAATAAGGGCATCATCTGATTATCCTGAGACGACGTTCGTTTCAGTCTTGTTCTCCTTGTCTTTCTTGGGTTCCCTACTCTATTTTAGGTAGCATGAAACGAAGCTCCTGAATGCAGCACCCATGATTCTGTCTTGCTCTCCAACGAGCAAATAAGGGCATCATCTGATTATCCTGAGACGACGTTCGTTTCAGTCTTGTTCTCCTTGTCTTTCTTGCCTCGAATTAGATCTACCACGGCTATTCCCTCTATTTCTGTTTCTATTTCTGCCTCTACTCTCAAAATTCAATGCCGACCCTGAATTAGAAACTCTTCTTCTTGTCTTCTTATCTCCTCGATCATAATCATGTCCACAACTTCTAAAAACTTCAGTTTTGATTTTTCACATGACCCGCTAATCAAAATAACGGTGCCCTTCCAACTATTAGGCAACTGACCAAATATTAACAGAGCTTGAATTTCATCATCAAATTTAATATTGACGGAGTTTAGTTGATCCGTAATCTCATTAAACTCATTCAGGTGTTCCTTGAATTTTTGGCTCTCAGACATCCTCAAATTAAACAGCTTCTTTATGAGATGTACCTTATTCGCCGCGGAGGGTTGTTCATACATACTAGATAGCACAGTCATGAGATCCGTCGTCGAATTCTGATTCTTGATGTTGAAAGCTACAGATTTGAACATGATCAACCTGATTGCTCCAAGGGCCTTCTGATCTAATAGCTTCCACTCTTCATCCTTCATATCCGTCGGTTTCTCTCTAAATGGAAGATATAGATCATTCTGATAGAGGTAGTCTTCCATCTGCATCTTCTAGAACCTGAAGTTTGTCCCATCAAATTTCTCGATCTTGGACGTCTCCTTCTCAGATCCCATGTCTCTGACCTCAATCGCCTGCGCCGAACCTGATCGTTCTGATACCAATTGATAGGGATTTATCTAACCCCTGATGCGATTTGGAAATAAAGATGAGAGAGAAAAGAGAGAACAATCACACAAAACACACAAGATTTATGTGGTTCACTTCTCGATGTGAGAAGCTACATCTACCTCTATGGCCACCGCAAGAATTTTTTTTACTATTTTCGTCAATTTTACAAGTTGCCCTAATCTCTCTTTTAATAACACAAAGGTTAATACAAACAGGATTCTAAAACAGTTCAGCAAAAAACGAGCCCAGACCCAAAAAACCGACTCGCGGTCGACCGCAGATACAGACGCGGGCGACTGCAAAAAATCCGAGACCAAATCTGATTACAGGGTTTGGCGCGGTCGACTGCACATGATGTCGCGATCGACTGCAAAAAGTCCAAAGACTTTTTCATGGACCCGTGCGTTCGCGGTCGACCGTCGCGCCACTCGCGGTCGACCGTAAAGCCTCCAAGCTGGTTCCTTCGTCGTTTTTCTTGACCTTCATCGCCGTCGTTCCTGTTCCTCCAATTTCTCATGTTTCATCTTCAAAGATAAGGTATAGGGCAAGTCGGATAGTTAGGCCCCACATATCCTAACACTAACATACCCTCTGCAGAGTGAGTGTCTTTATCATGGGCCGAAACCTGTATTACATAACAATATCTTTTTTAATTTGTTTTAAATCTGTGACCATTGAGATTTGGAATTAGGGTGCTCGTATACCATGTTGAATGTTCTTCCATTGCATCAGAAACTTTGAAGTTGTGGTGAAAGTAGAGAGGTTATAATTTTGTATCCTAACAACATACGCAATGCAGCTTGCGAACAAAAACTTGCCATTTGGTGGGGTCGGAGAGAGTGGAATTGGTGCATATCACGGGCAGTTTTCTTTCGATGCATTTAGCCACAAGAAAGCCGTACTCTCCCGCAACTTTTATGGTGAAGTTAGTGCAAGATATCCCCCATATACTGCCAGAAAACAAAGAATTCTACGCGCGCTGCTCAATTTCGATATCATAGGCCTCATTCTGGCTCTAGTTTGGCACAAATCTTGATTGCTCAAGGCTTTTTAAGAAAAATAAACAATATACGCTTTGTATAATGGGACGTATCCATCTTTGAGTATTGACTTTACTTTTTATGTGATGTTGTGATGTTGTGATGTTGATGAATAATTTATTTAAATACGCGTTGTATACTCGTCTCTTGAATGCAATAAATATGTACATATAAAGTAGGGTTAATTGCGGATGGACTAGACAACCTGTAGTATTTTGTAATTACTGCCCCACTATTCTTGTAGATAGGCCTCCTGAGTGAAATTTTCTCGATTCTTTTGTCCTTAAAGGAAAAGAACGTTGTTTCTTCTTGACAGGCGGACCCCCTAAGGGTAGAAGAGTAGGGGGGAAAAAAAGGAAGTCATGGGGTCTATCCGTAACAACAAAACTAGAGGGGTAGTTATATAAAGTATGAAAACTAGAACAGGATAGCACTTGTGCTCTGTTGAGGCATCATGTGTCTATTCGTTGTGATGTTCTCTTGGGATAGAGATACGTTTTTTTTACTTTATAAGGATACCATGTCGTGTTTTCTTTGTTGTGTTTTTGTAAATAAAAAAAAACTACGGTGTTGTGTTTTTTTCCTAAAGTGTTTTCAAAACACTATATTGAGTGTTTTTACTCAACAATAGTTTGACTCATTGCAACATTAGTATTAAATAATTATTAGTAACTTTTTAGCACATCCTCAAACTCAAAACCTAAAAAACCAAACTTAAAACACCAAGACTTGTTTTGAAATAAGTGTTGTTTTGAAATAAGTGTTGTGTTTTTTGTTTGAGTATGATTTAGCTCGAAAAACACAATAGTTTTCAAACACATGATGTTTTATTTTTTACAAACATCATGAAAATAAGGAAAACACCATGAAACCAACCTTAAGTTTTTGGTAGGTAGCCCGCTGTGGAATCTTGATAAAGTCTTATGAAAGCGACCCTATTAGCTCCTCGGAGTGGACTGCTCTGAGAGCAACTAAACATGTGAGTTGTGACTTAAGGGGCAAGCAATCTAGTTTGAGTGGGCAATAAAAAGTCTTAATCTCTGTTTGACAGTTAAATGTTAGCCTTATTTTAATTAAGTCCACAATAATGATGGTTATGTTCACAACTAGACCTAGAGTCATTTGTATCATTGTTGAGGTCATATGTTCTTATTAATTGAGGTTACCGTTTGAGCATTAATTTTATGATTACAGGCTTGACGTCTATTATTTCCTTTCTTCAACTAAAATAGAATGTTTGTGATATGAACTGTAGAGAATAGAGAAAACCTTAATTGTTGTTTATTGAGAATAACAAGAGAGATATATATAGCCATACAAATAGGGTTAAAGTTAACGGGTAACAGCCTATTAACCCAATACCCAATACTTAACTTAACACTCCCCCTCAAGCTGGAGCATAGATGTCTACCATACCCAGCGTGTCACATATAGTAGAGAACATCTTTGAAGAAGTAGCCTTGGTAAGAATATCAGCAAGTTGTTGTGAGGACGGAGTGAATATGAGAGATACTATCTTCTTCTCCCAAGCATCTCTGACAAAATTACAGTCAACTTCAATATGTTTTGTCCTCTCATGAAACACAGGATTCTGTGCAATATAAATGGCAGACTGGTTATCACAATGCATTGGCATGGGTCCAGGCTAAACAAAACCAAGTTCTGTCATAAACTTTCTTAGCCACACCATCTCACAAGCAGTGTGAGCCATTGCTCTATATTCGGCCTCTGCACTAGATCGTGATACTACATCTTGTTTCTTGCTTCTCCAAGTCACAAGATTACCCCCAATAAAAGTACAAAATCCTAAGGTTGACTTCTGGTCTCCCATGTCTCCTGCGTAGCCAGCATCAGAGAAAGCCGAAATGTGAGTATGCCCATGCTACTTATATAACAATCCCTTGCCAGGACAACTCTTGACATATGCCAAAATCTTCAGAGCTGCTGTCCAATGAACTTCTCTAGGTTTGTGCATAAACCTGCTCAGTACACCTACTGCAAAAGTAATATCAGGTCTGGTAACTGTCAAATATATTAGGCTGCTGTCCAATGAACTTCTCTAGGTTTGTGCATAAACCTGCTCAGTACACCTACTACAAAAGTAATATCAGGTCTGGTAACTGTCAAATATATTAGCTTCCCAATTACTCTTCTATATCGTCCAGCATCATCTAGGAGAGAGGTATCATCACGCCACAAATTAACATTTGCCTCCATTGGAGTGCTTGCAGGTTTGCATTCCAAGAGACCTGCTTCTTCTATTAAATCTAGCACATACTTCATTTGAGACAACAACAGGCCATGTTTTTGATATGGAACTTCAATCCCAAGAAAATACTTTGGTTTTCCCATGTCCTTAGTGATAAAATGACGGTTTAGATATTCCTTAGTCTCAGCTAAGGCAATAGAGTCACTCCCAGTCAGCAGAATATCATCAACATATACGGCTAAAATAACCAAACCAGTTGTTGTGCGTCGAAGAAAGACAGAGTGATCAGACTGACAACGTTGGAAACCAACATTAGAAATAACCTTGTTGAACTTATCAAACTAAGCTCGATTACTCTGCTTTAACCCATAGATGGCCTTTCTCAGCCCGCAGATAATATTCTCCCCCTGAGCAACATACCCAGGAGGTTGCTCCATATAAACCTCCTCGTCCAAATCACCATAAAGGAAAGCATTCTTCACATCTAGTTGGTGCATCGTCCAATCCATATTAACAGCCAGAGAGAAAAGAATTCTGATGGAGTTGATACGAGCAACGGGAGAAAAGGTTTTAAAATAGTCGACGCCATATGTCTGGGTATAACCTTTAGCAACCAGGCGAACTTTATAACAGTCAACAGACCCATTGGGCCGATATTTCAGGGTATACACCCATCTGCAACCAACTACAGTCGCTCCAGTAGGAAGAGAAACCAAGTCACAAGTCCCTCTAGAAAGTAGTGCATTCATTTCCTCATCCATGGCCTGCTTCCAAGATGGTACTAACATAGCTTCCTCATATGACCTATGTATAAATACAGTGGACAAGGACAAGGCAAACTGACGAAAAGATGGGTTGAGACGGTCATAAGAGACAAAAAGAGATATAGGATATTTCGGGCAAGACCGTTTACCTTTTCGAAGAGCAATAGGGATATCCAAGTCAGAAGGAATAGAGGTCTCAACATGAGATGGACCGACAGCTGGAGATGAAGGTTTAGCAGTAGTAGATTCAGGGGCATGTACTTTTAGGCGGCGAGAGTATGTCAGTAGAGGCTTCGGTGCAGGAGCTACAGGAGCAGGTAATGGAATACTAGTAGGAGCAGAAGAAGATAGTGGTACATGTGGACAACCAATAGTAGCGGAACCAGACGAAAAATATGGGACATACTAAAAAAAGATAACATCAGCAGACATAAAATATTTCCTGGTGGACGGATGATAACACCTATACCCTTTTTTAGTACGAGAGTATCCAACAAAAACACATTTGATGGATCTAGATGACAACTTATCCACACCAGCAGTTAAATCCTGAACAAAACACGTAGAACCAAAGACACGGGGAATCACAGAGAATTGTTTTTTATCAGGATAAAGATAATTGAATGGTATTAAACCATCAAGGACAGAGGAAGGCATGCGATTAATCAAATAATTTGCAGTGAGAACATCATCAGACCACAAATACTTTGAAATATTCATATGTATCATCAGTGTCTAGCAACATCTAGAATATGCCAATGCTTCCTCTCAGCAACTCCATTTTGTTGTGAAGTGTGAGAGCAAGAAGTCTGATGAATAATGCCATTAAGAGCACAAAATTTTAAAACATCATTTTTTATATATTCCAAAGCATTATCAGTACGAAGAATACGAACAGAAGTAGAGAACTGAGTTTTTATTTCATCATAAAAGAGTTCAATAACGTGCGAGACCTCTAACCTCTCTTTTAACAGATAAAGCCACATTATGCGAGAGAAATCATCAACAAAGATAACAAAATATCGAAAACCTTGCACAGAGGGAACACGATAAGGATCCCAGACATCAGAATGAACCAACTCAAAAGCAAAACTACTACGTTTATCGACTTGACTTTGAAAAGTAGCACGATTAGGGCTGGCAATGGTACACAATTCCATTCCAACCAATTCATGTACCAACCGTACCAAATACGTTGGTATACCATCAAATCGGTATATGGTACATGGTACAGTATACCGTACCAGCTTTAAAATATGGTACGGTAGGTGGTACATATTTTCCTCTACCATGGTATACCGTACCTACCAACTTATATTATATTAAATTATTATATATAATATATAAATATATATCCTTAAATCTCAACCATAGAAGTAGGGAAAATAAATCACAACCATCAATTTTTTACCCTAACCTAATCTCTCTCAGCCTCCCACTCTCAGTCTCAGTTCGCCTCTCCCCAAAACTTCCCCCAAATTCCTCTCCCCAAAAATCCCTCTCCCCAAAACTTCCCCCAAATTCCTCAATCCCTCTCCCCCTTCCCACGATTTCAGCCCATATCACCGCCACGACACCGACGGTCCGACACCACCAGCTCGCCCTCCGTCCGTCGCCGACGACGCCACGCCGCCACGACACCGTCGAGCTGGGTGAAAGGACTAAATAAGTAAATATTGACTTGGGCTTGTAATTTTGGGTGAAACTGTGAGAGCACAAAAAGAAGAGATCTCGGTTTTCTTTAGAGATATTGGTTTTCTTTAGTTTCTTTCCACGGACCACGACATTGTCAATTTTATTCATCTGCTTGTAATTGGATTGACTTGGGCTTGTAATTGTAATTGTTGATTTTCTTTACGTTGTTTGGTTTATTTTTATTTTTATTTTTGAATTAACTGTGATATATGTAAATGAAAGAGGATAGAGATAAAGAAGCAAATAAAATCTACTAAGGAAAAACTTTGATACTTTGTGAACTGGGTCATATATGTAGAGAAAAGAAGTCTAGCTATCTGATATAAAAAAAATACATAAACAATATCATTCATAGCTAACAAACATGCGATAATATGGGAAAAGTACATTCTTAGCTATTAACAACCTTTGAAAATAAACAAAATACATGGAGCTGTCATCATTTGCATGTAGTGTTGCTGCTAATCTAAACATTATCTGAGAACACGTGTCTTTTCAAAGTTCATTAGGAACAATTGAGCTGTCATCTTTTGCATGTGCTCTTTGATATATGAAAATGGATTTTAGTGAAATGAATTGTTGACTCGTATCTGTTATTTACTTGATTGTATAAATGGTTGTATACATGATGGCTTTACTATTTTGCTTTCCCTTTCAGATAGGCGCAGGTGACATTCACCGGATGGCATTTACCATTGAACTTGCTATGGAATGATGTTTTAATTGTGACTTTGACACTATTTGCCTATATCGTTGATACAGATAGTTGATTGGCTAGAATTCCATTATAACATAAATCAAGATCTTGAACCATAACATTAGGGTCCTCACAATATGTAATTGTAATGCCATTAGCAGTAGGGATGATGACGATGCACTTCAGCTACAAAACTTGGTGTTTTAGTTTGCGCTATATTGTTTTTTGACTTGTTATTGGATTTAATTATGTATTTATGTTATTGTTGTAGAGAATGCTTTTACACAAAACTTGGAGGCAGTAAGGGGCGGCCCAAGTAGCAATAGCTCTGTTCAAACAACTGCTTAGGCATCAAGCGTTCGGGGTTTATGGCCTAGCACTATCACCGCCTACAACATGTCAACATGTCCCGCTTTTAGACCTATCATTTCTTTTTTTTCAATTGTTTTATGAATTTGTTAGTACTTTGGCAGTTTGACTATTTGGACTTTGGCATGTTCAATTTATGACTTCGTATTCGGTAATTTGGTTGAATTTGTATAACACTTTGGAGTTTGGATTTTTGTTGTTATTTGTTATTAGTTTCTTATTTATTTCGCAACAATGAATTACTGAATTAGACAATTAGTAAGACAGGTTTGGACTTTGGCAGCAGGAGAATTATGATCTTTTTAACTTTTTGTAATAGTGTTGTTGAGCTGGGCCTTTAAATTTTTGGGCCATATATATCTTGGTAGAAGTCTATTACCAACCGTACCAACCGAGTACCAACCATACCAAGTAGTTGGTATACCAACATTATTGGTTGGTAGAAATGGTGACTTTTTCCTACCAATTATATATTGGTTGGTACATGGTATTAGGAAAATATAATTGGTATACCTACCAATCCAGCCCTAGAGACAAGTTGAATAATGGTGCTTACCCAGTTCACACGACTCACAACCTAAAGCTGAACAGAAACTACCGATCTAAGTTTTTGTAGTGAAGGATGACCCAGACGCCAGTGCCATAATAAAGTGGAGTCAGACTGTGATGCAACAAGGCCAGCCTCTGGCACACTGTCGTCCAAATAGTACATACCTCCTCTCTCATGTCCCGAACAAATCTTCATCCCAGTTGCTAGGTCCTGAAAAACACAATAAGATGGAAAGAATGTGACTTTATAATTATTTTGTTTTGTAAACTTGCTAATGGATAATAGGTTAACAGAGAATTTGGGAACATATAACACATCAGTTAGTTTTAAAGAGGAAGTAGCATGACCTACTCCATCACCACGAATTGGAGAAAGAGTACCATCAGCAATGCGGATAGAAGGAAACTTATCAGAAAGATGTAAAGATACAAAGTGATCCTTTATACCTGTCATATGAGATGAGGCTCCAGAATCTAGTACCCAGGGTTTGTGAGAAAAAGCTATTTAAGCATCCATACCTGAAGAGGATGCATGAGTAGCAGAATGAATGTTCTGAGAGAGTTCTAGCTGGCGCAACCTCTCATAATCTGCCTGAGAAATCTGAACAGTAGGAGCAGTAACAGTTAGACCACCAGAAGTAGTAGCAGAAATAGATGAGTTAGTCGACTCTGTATCAGCTACCTGAGCCCACTCAGGACGACCAAACTTCTCCCAGCACTTCTCAGAAATATGATTGGTTCTCCCACAATGACCATACTGTCGTGAGCCCTTATCAGATTCACCTTGCCTCCCACCAAAGGAGCCACGTCCTCCCCCTGAATCATGGCCACGACCACGACCGCGGCCTTTGCCTCGATTAGAGAACATGGCAGACTGATCCATCGTAGGTGGAGATGGTGCAGTAGTATCAGAAGTAACACCAGTAGAGACCTGCATGACTCTAGAGAATGTAGCAGTTAGTGAGGGAATTGTATCTCCACCCAATATCTATCCCCTCACCTGGGACTGTAAATTAGGGTTCAACCCAGAAAAAAATTTGGATACTGCCAGATCACGATGATACCCTAATAGCGTCGCTGCATCAGCTACTGCAGGCTGATGCATCTCTAGTTCGTCTATCAGTCCCTTCAATTCACCAAAGAATTCCGGAACTGACTTATCTCCCTGTTTGAGCGCAAACAGTCGCTCATAAATTTCAAATACACGGGAAACATTCTTCTCATTCCCGTACATAATCTTTAGGCTGTCCCACATCTCCTTCGCAGTGGTTAAAAACATAACTCTGCTACTGATCTATGCTTCCATACTGTTGAGAAGCCAAGTCATAACACAACAATCAGATGATAGCCATGTAGTGTAGGTGGGATCTGAGGTGGGTGGTGGAGATGCCAGAAGATGTGGGAGTTTGCTCTGAGCGCCAATGAAGATGCGGAAAGCTTGCGCCCATAGCAGATAGTTTGTACCATTCAATTTGATTGTAGTCCCCAAGACTACCTTAGGCGCAGAGGTCTCTCTAGAAACAACAGGAGTAGTTGAAGAGGAAATATCCGACATCGAAGTAGTAGTCATTTTTGCGCAACAATAGTAGATAGATAGTAGTCAAATAAGCAGTACAGTAGTAGAGATAGTATTCAAAATAGGCAGTGCATATAGTAGACAGGTAGTAGTCAAATAGGCAGTGCAACAATAGGCATACGAGGCAGAGTAGTAGACAGTCACGCCCTCACGCCGTGGAGGCAATATCACCTGAGGGAGAGAGCCCCGGCTTCTGTTTGCACACCTGAGGGAGAGAGCCTTGGCTTCTGTTTGCACAAAGGCTCCAGTCAAACTCTATATTCTCGTTTCTCGAAGGAAACAAGAATAGAAGTGAAATTCTCGTTTCTCGAAGGAAACAAGAATAGAAGTGAAAGATCTCAATCTCGAAGAAAACAAGAATAGAAGTGAAAGATCTCAACGAGGTGAGATAGACACTCTTCCTCTCATCAGTTCTATGACTGAAATGTCGAGGGATATGAATGAGCATTTGTGACGGCTAGGGTTTCATGCTCTGATACCATATGTAGAGAATAGAGAAAACCCTAATTGTTGTTTATTGAGAATAACAAGAGAGATATATATAGCCATACAAATAGGATTAAGGTTAACGGGTAACAGCCCATTAACCCAATACCCAATACTTAACTTAACAAGAACTAAGCCAGGAGTATCTTCTCAAAGATACATATTAATCAAGGGAGGATACAATACATGACAAATCAATACAAGCTGTTGTAAGTCAGCAAATTATACACAGCAGCGATTAATTTGAATCACACGCCGAAACATTCATGTTACATTTTTTTTTATTTCTTTTTTGGTTTTTGGACATGTTGTCATTAATCTCAATATCGAAACAATAAAACAACTAAAATCTTTAACTCCACTTGTTAGACTCATTCAAAACGCACCTGTATGAATCCTTGCCTTCATTCAAGGCTACTTCCTCTGAAAATTACTTAGCGCAAAAACTCTCCTTCACTGTAAATTTGGTGCATGCTCAAGAGAATTATATTCTCTCTTTTTTTGGAGCTCTAAGCTCCCTAGTTATCCTGTAGCTGAGAAATTGATCACCCAAGTCCTTAGAACGTTAGCTTCATTTTCACATTACTCGATTTTCTAGCACAAGCTCCTACGTTCTGAGAAAACACCATTATCCAGTAAAACTGAACACAGGAGATGGCTAAGATGGCAACCAACTAGACCTAACCATGAACCATTGAACTCAAACCAGAAACATTAATCGCAACATATCGAACTAAACAAATTTGTAACAAGCTTCAATTGACATGGTAAACTGCAACATTTTTCGCATTGTGATACTCCACTCTTCTCCGTTGTCCAACAGTCAGTTGGCTGCATCACCTGTAGAGACTAGAGAGAGACCCTGACGAAGAATCATTATAAACGAGGTCATTTTCGTTCTGGAATTTTCGAACTCATCCTTTCTTCTTGTGATAATTTTAAACAGCAAAACGCTAAATAGAAAAATTGAATGCAAAGATTATTGAATTATTCAATGACATGCCTCAGGAGGATCAAATTTGGCCCCTAGGTTGCTTAGCTTTGCATGCGCTTCGGCATATCCCTTGAAAAATGCATCTTGATCCTCCACATGTTTCTCAACATAGACCTAAAAAACCAGAGATTTGTCAGGAATTAAGGATCATAAGATTATGTTCCTAATGAAGATGGAACATGTGATCCTGTCTTTGTTTACCTTAAAGTACGGATCATCGAATAGAGCAGCATCAGCAGGCAAAACTAGCAGATTTTCATCCCTTTTCTCTTTGATATCGACTGTCCTCCAGGTGCACCAGGACCATCTTTCTGATATAACATAAATGCAAACAAAATGGACGAGTGTACCGCTGATTAAATATTGCATTTTGCAATGTTAATACCTAAGTACATTAGTAGTGAGAAGTAGTGAGATGGGGGAAAAAAATCATGTATTCAACTGAAGTTCATTGATCGGCTTGCTCAGGAGCGAAAATTGGTCATTATTATCCTAGTATGCAGTATGAGCAAGCCTTGCCTGTGCAATGTGACCCAGGAAAGGGAATATAATATCTTCAAGCTCAAGGTCCTAGCAGGAAAAAGAAAAAGTCGTGGCATTATTTAGAGAAGAAAGGTCATCAAGGAGTATCTGAGAGAAAGAAGCTGAAGTGGGTGCAAATTGCCGCAGTGAGCATCTGGATCAGCGTGCTTTCACAAAATTTGGTACTTCCGGAGTAGTAACATCCGAAGTGTGTAAGTTGCTCGTTTAATGAAGTTAATGTTTATATAAAATGGTGTCTGTTTCTCAAATAATATGAAATCAGCTAAGGAAAAGGTGAATAGTAAACCACTTATTTGTGGTGCCTTAGATCTTGATTTTGGAATCAATATAGCTAACATCTCTGGTGTTGAGAGGACAAGGGCACCATATTTAATAGATAATTCGCGGATTCTAGCCTAAATGAATGCTCCAGAAACCTGACACGCACCTTTGCAATGAGCATTAGACTCAACCATACAAACACAGACAGATATACTATGGTTCATGTATTGCACATGAAGCATTGTTTACTACGAATGTGTACTCTCCTTTTTTACGTAAATACCAGTCCTATCATGCAGATGCCAATAGTTGCTTAGGACAGTAACTATAACAATTAGCAAGCTTTGATTAAGAATAACCTGACAAATTCTTCACTAGTCAATACTTTTAGGGGCATTACACGGTATAGAATCTGAATATCAATGCATCGGTTACAGCCTAAGTCAGAGGCGAACGATTACTACCCCGCGCGCTATCTGGGTTCAATAAGATACTAAAGATGCCATTAAAGTTTGGACGAATGAAAAATACACATACAGTGTATTTTGTTTCTGGTTTTCCCCAACCACTGCGTTCTGGTCTGGACTGTCCTAGGGTATGTGCGCCAGATAATGCAACAATTTCCTGCAGCAATATAATACATTCCTTAAGCATTTAACATACGAGGTGAAAATATTTGGCGGACTTCCAGATGAAAACATTAAGTACAGGTCTGAACCTGGTCATTGAATCCCATTCAATAGAACACTTTCCGTAAATGTTCAGCAGCAGGTGAAGGAGGCCCAGCATCTACATTAAGAAGAAAGCGACAAAATTACAGAATTAAAATGAAGCTGGAGAATAGAAGACAATCAAAAGCACAACAAAACGTATCAAGCCAGGAAGCAAGCATTTTCCAAGCATGCAATGTCCCTATTTCAACTCTCAAGTAAGGTTTTGCATTATAATGGGATGTAGAAAAGGAAATTTACATCAACTCCTTATTTAGGAGCTGATACGTGAGAAGAGATGGTGTCTACAGTAGAAAGGTGGAGAGAACTCTTGAGTCTCAAGGATTTAGAATTAACAGAACGGAAACTTGATTTATGGAATGTAATTTTAGTAAAACTAAGAAAAGGAAGGACATTATCACATACACTGATGTGCAAGAAATATTTAGGACTAATCACATTCGTTATTTAGGATTAGTCAATAATGAAAATGGTGAAATTGAGGACGACGCGATTCATCGAAACAAATTAGGATGGCTAGCAGTTCTTCTAGAGTCTCATGTGATTGTAGAATACCTAAGAAATTGAAGGGAAAATTCTATAAGATAACTATAAGACCAACAACGATTTAGGGATCTGATGAAAACCCATCAACAAATAACATGAGCAAAAAATGGATGCTGCAGCAATGAGAATGTGCCAATAGATGTGTCAAGTACACTAAGAGATAGGGTAAGTGTGATAGGGTGGAGCCCACCCACGTGGGTCTGCCCACGCCCACGAGAAAGCCCCCCACCGTTTTTCTTGCGCGCGCACGCAAGGACCACGTCGCCGCTCGCCTTGAGCCCAGCGCCTTCGTGCTCGAGCTGCTTCCCGCGCGCGCTTCTTTTCCCGCGCGTTTCTGCCCGCCTAAATGCCTCAGACCCGCCCCCCTTATTTCCTATAAATAGAGGTGTTTGTGTAGTGAATATGGGTGGGGAAAATATTAAGTGGGGGTAAAAATCTCAAGAGGAGTTTTTGAGAGAAAAGAAAGAGAGGAAGAGAGAACTTGTATAAGTTTGGTATTTTTCCTCCATAGTGAAATCCCCTCCCGTGGACGTAGGCTAGTTTGCCGAACCACGTAAAAATCTCGTGTTTGTATTTGTCTTATCTGTGAGTTGTCATAGCTTGTAGGTTCCCTCGATATTTCAGTCTTTGAACTGATGAGAGGAAGAATGTATATTTCACTTTGATGAAATATATCACTTACGATTCTTGTTTTCTTTGAGAAATAAGAATTTCACTATCTATTCTGGTTTCATTTGAGAAACAAGAATATATAGGTTGATTTGTGCTTTTGTGATAACGAAAGCCAGAGCTTTCTCTCAGGTGATAACGCTTCCGCGGCGGTGGGCGTGACTCCGCCCCAACAATTGGTATCAGAGCCCTTATTCAGACTGGAGGTGGTAAAATTTCTGATCTGAGGTGGTGGTTGAATATTGTGTGGTAAAACACAAAGAAATTGTTAAAAATTCCTGAGAGAAGCGGATTAACATAATACAAGCGGAAAATGACTTCTACAAGTAAAACAAGTAAAGTTGGAAAATACGAGATTGAAAAATTTAATGGAAAAAATGATTTTTCTTATTGGAGGATGCAAATGAAAAATTCGCTGATTTCCAAAAGTTGCACAAGGCTTTGGCTGGAAGAGAGAAGCATAAAAATATGTCTGATGAGGATTGGGAGGAGCTGGATCTGGAAGCACGAGCGTCGATTATCCTATGCCTTGAGAGGGATGTAGCTTTCTTGGTAGACGGGGAGGAAACGGCTGCGGGTGTGTGGTTGAAGTTAGAAAGCACCTTCATGACGAAGAGTCTAACGAACCGGATCTATTTAAAATCCAAATTGTATACTTGTAAGATGGAGGAGGGCTCGTCAATCCGGGAGTACATCAACAAGTTTTATAGGATCTTATCAGACTTGAAAGACATTGAGGTGATAGTGGAAGACGAGGATCAGGCACTTCTACTACTTCTATCTCTGCCGAAGTCTTATGAGAACCTGGTACAAACACTGATGCTTGTGGGTGATACTTTATCGATGGATGAAACTAGAACGGCGCTTCTAGCGGATGATCTTCGAAAAATTGTAACTAGTGATATGGCCACTGGTGGTAACAAAGAACAAGCGCAGGGACTGTTTGCCAGAGGAAGAGACAATGAGCGAGGAAAAGGCAAGAGAGGAAAGTCTAGATCTAAATCGAGACCTCTTGCGGGATGAGCGTGTTTCAAATGCGGTGAAGTTGGGCATTTCAAAATCGATTGTCCTAACAAGAACAACAACAAGACTGAAAGACGAGAAGGCAAGGAAGAGGCGAGCTACGCTTCAGAGGATGGGAGCGATAAGGAATGTTATGTCATCACGGATGGCGAGGATACCTCCGGGAAATGGATTCTTGATTCTGGTTGCTCTTACCACATGTGTCCAAACAGGAAGTGGTTTACTACCTACAGGAGCATTGATGGTGGAACCGTATTGATGGGGAACAACCATGCTTGTAAAACGGTGGGGCTAGGTGATATCAAAATCAAGATGCATGATGGAGTGGTTCAAACCCTGACGGACGTACGACACGTTCCCGGCTGGCAGAAGAATCTCATCTCAGTCGGTGCTTTGAACTCCGGGGGTTGCAAGATTGTAACAGAGAACAGAGTGAAGAGGGTTGTTCGGGGTTCCTTAACAGTGATGAAGGGTGTTCGTCACGGTAATCTATATACTCTCTCGGGTACGACGGTGACGGGAGATGCAGCAGTTGGAGCTGAAGGAAGTGGTGGAGACCCATGTGAGCACACACGATTATGGCATAGGCGGCTTGGGCACATGTCAGAGAAGGGTCTGGATCTGCTTGGTAAAGAGGGTTTGCTGAAGAATCTGAAGAAGCCTTGCATGGATTTTTGCGAGGACTGTGTGTATGGAAAGGCGCACAGGGTTCAATTTCTGAGGAGCAAGCACAAGAGCAGAGGGATACTAGATTATGTGCACACGGATGTTTGGGGTCCGGCTTCGACAACTTCCAAGGGTGGTTCCAGATATTTTGTCTCATTCATAGATGATCATTCAAGATATGCTTGGGTTTATTTCCTGAAGCATAAGAATCCTGAAGCATAAGAATGAGGTATTTGAGATATTCAAGAAGTGGAAGGCGATGGTTGAGAACAGGACGGGCAAGAAATTGAAGACGCTGAGATCTGACAACGGTACAGAGTACACAGACGGTGCCTTCAAGGAGTTCTGTGATCAGGAGGGTATTGCCAGACACTGGACAGTTAGATCTACACCACAGCAAAATAGGGTCGCGGAAAGACTGAACCGAACACTGCGGGAGAAAGCAGTGAGTATGCGATCTTATGCTGGTTTGGGTAAAGAATGGTGGGCAGAGTCGATTGCTACAGCTTGCTATATTGTGAATCGATCTCCACATTCGACATTGGACGGTGATACACCCTATCGGGTGTGGTCAGGGGAGCATGCAGATTATGAGAGACTCCGAATTTTCGGGTGTACCGCCTACTATCACGTCAACGAGGGAAAGCTTGACGCGAGGGCCAAGAAGACAATTTTCTTGGGGTATGCAAAAGGCGTAAAAGGCTATCGTCTTTGGTGTACAGAAGATTCGAAGTTCGTGATCAGGAGGGACGTTACATTTGATGAGAAGTCCATGATTGCTAAGGTGCCCAAAGATGGTGGTGTTGATACTGTCGGGACTCCCGAGTCCCAGGTTATTGAGATAGAACTGAAAGACCAATCAGGTTCTAGTCGTGTTCAAGTGGGAAATCAGGTAGATGATGAGCTTGATCAGGAGGAGGTTCAGCAGGAGAATACACAGGCACTACAACAACAGCAGCTCGAGGATAGCTTGGCTTCCACTAGGCCAAGACGAGTATACAAGCAGGTACAGAAGCTGGGGGTTGATCAACCCTGTTGACCCTATAGTTTTGATGATGATTTGGCAAACAATTTATTACTAATAAGTTTTCTAGTGTTTTATGTTTATGTTCTCTTTTCAGGTATTTCAATACACGTCAATCAAGTGTTAAAGATTCAAGTTCATTTGCGTGGATGTACCTAGGTAGATGTTTAGTTTACTTACATATATTGTATGATTATATCTAAGCTCAATATATGAACACTTAACACGTTTTTTGACGTTTTCTATCATATAAATGATTTTTCATCAAACGTGGTTACAATAACTTTTATCTCATGTTTACAGCTCTTTCGTACTTCATTATATATATATAATACATGCACAATATATATATACATATTTACAAGTTCTATATCAACTTTCACTTTCATAAAAAAATAATACATGCACAATATATATATACATATTTACAAGTTCTATATCAACTTTCACTTTCATAAAAAACAGGTTTTCTAAGCATTTTTCAAAAACAGGTAGTTTTCACAAACAAAAATTGATTTTCCAAAAATTCCTTTTTAAACATGTTTATTTTATCATTTAGAAACTTTCCCCAAAGATTCACTATTTTTGGATGTGATTTGATATTTTTAATGAATTTTCAAAACTGCCCCAAAACCTGTCAGTTTGCCTATATCAGTTTTCGGTCCCGATCCGGTCGACCGACAGTGGTTTTTTGAGCTCATACCCGCGATCGACCGCACCGGTCGACCGAGAGAATTTCCGGTCGACCGAATATTCCGTCGGTCGACCGCCAGCTCTAAACCCTTATTATCTGAGTTTTTGAGCTTAGCGGTCGCCCGGCCCGGTCGACCGCCATGGTGTCAGAACCTGTGTAACGGCTAGTTTTTCTGTCTGTTTTCAAACTGGGTTTTTGGTCTTTTTACATCCTTTTTGCTGTTGTATTGGGGTGCTATATATACCCCATTGCTGTTCTTCCTCTCAATAACTAAGAAATCCAAGTTTGGTGGTTTACAAAATATTAAGTGTGTTTAAGAGCTGTTTAATAGTTGATTTCATCAATCAGTTTTTCAAGAGGAGTTTTTCCTATAACAAGAAGTGGCATTCAATCCTATTGGAATCATCTCTACTGTTCTTCTTGTTTGAGAAGTCTTCTAAACTCTTTTATAGCTCATTATTTCATTTTTACTTCTTTTAGCTATATCTATTGAGTTTGATTCACTGTTATCACACACACTTATTGAGCTTAATATTTTCATACCATATAGTGTGGGTTGTGGGGTGTGATTTAGTGAGTGTGAGCTTCATTGTGTTCTCACTTGTTATTTGAGAACAAATCATTATATTTAACTTTCATTTGTGAGAATCACTTGTAATACACTTGTACACCGAGAGAAGTGTGAGACGAGACACGGGGTGGAGGAGGACACGGGCTAGGTTCCTATACTTAGTGTGTAAAGTGTGATTGCATAGTGTTTGTGTAGTGTGAGAGTTTTCGGTGATCTTGTAAACCGAGTGTGTAGAAGTTCCGGCTTCCAAACCGGATTGTGATAGTGGATATCTCCTCGAGGTGAGGAGCGGGGACGTAGGTCGTGGTGACCGAACCTCGTAAACATATTGTGTGTTTGTATTTTGCTTAGCGTTTTCTTATTCATCTTTATTGTTCATATTCATATCTTGCAAGATTAAATTAATCAATATAATTTTAATTAGCTTTTAATTGGGATTAGATTAGCATAAGACCCTAATCACCCCCCTCTAGGGTCTAACAAACCCCTGAAGCACTATGGGCATGTTAATTTGGTTGAGTACGCACTCTCGGTGGAGGAAGATGAGCCGGTCTCCTTCAAGGAAGCTATTCAAGACAAGAATAGTGAGAGTTGGTTGGCTGCGATGGAGGAGGAGATGGAATCTCTCCGGAAGAACCAAACATGGGAGGTGGTCCCATTGCCCGTAGGAAAGAAAGCTATAGGTTGTAAGTGGCTGTATAAAAGAAAGGAAGATCCTTCAGAGCTCGGTGGAACGAGGTACAAGGCGAGGCTAGTGGCTAAGGGGTTTGTACAAAGAGAGGGTGTGGATTACAATGAGATATTTTCTCCGGTGGTGAAACACACTTCTATTCGGGTGCTACTGAGTATTGTTGCTCATGGTGATCTTGAGCTGGAACAACTCGATGTCAAGACGGCATTCTTGCACGGAGACTTGGATGAAGAGATCTATATGCATCAACCTGAGGGATACTAGGTTAACGACAAGGAGAATCATGTATGTCGCTTGAGGAAGTCACTTTACGGATTGAAGCAATCTCCACGACAATGGTACAAGCGATTTGACTCCTTCATGCTGAAGCATGAGTTTTCCCGAAGCGAGTATGATTGTTGTGTTTACATTCGGAAGCTTCGTGGAGGTGATTATATCTATCTCCTGTTATATGTGGATGACATGCTTATTGCATCGAAGAACAAGGTGGAGATAAATAAGCTGAAATCTCAACTTAGCAATGAGTTCGAGATGAAGGACATGGGCGTTGCAAAGAAAATACTGGGTATGGAGATTAGAAGAGAGCGGGCGAATCGGCGATTGTTCTTGAGTCAGAAGGGCTACATAGAGCGGGTGATCGCGAGGTTCGGGATGCAAAGTGCAAAGTCGGTGGTGACCCCATTGGCTCCACACTTCAGGCTTTCAGGTAAACAATCTCCCACTACAGCGGAAGATAAGACACACATGGATCATGTCTCTTATGCTAGTGCAGTTGTCAGCTTAATGTACGCAATGGTGTGTACACGCCCTGATATTTTACAGGCGGTTAGTGTGGTCAGCAGATTCATGGCGAATCCGGGAAAGGCGCATTGGGAAGCGGTGAAATGGGTCCTGAGGTACTTAAAAAGTACCGCGGATACGGGTCTGTGTTTTGGTGGAGATACATGTCAGATCGACGGGTATGTGGACTCAGATTATGCGGACGATCTAGATAGACGGCGATCTACTACTGGTTATGTATTCAGGATACATGAAGCTCCAGTTAGTTGGCGATCGATGTTGCAGGCTACAGTGGTACTTTCTACAACAGAGGCCGAGTACATGGCCATGGCGGAGGGAGTGAAGGAAGCATTTTGGCTGTGGGGGTCTTCTAGACGATTTGGGGATTGGGCAGGAGAGCGTGAACTTGTGATGCGACAGTCAAAGTGCGATTCACTTGACGAAAAATCAAGTTCACCATGCTCGTACCAAGCATATCGACGTCAGATATCATTTTGTGCGGGATGTCATAGAGGAAGGAGATATTTCTCTCATGAAGGTGCATACGAATGAGAATCCCGCTGACATGTTAACCAAGGTGGTCATAGGTAGCAAGTTCCAACATTGCTTGGACTTGCTTCATATCAGCCCGTGTTGATTTGCCCAAGAGGGCATGGCCCTGCGGGGCAATGATGGAGGTGAGGTGAAGACTATGTTGGAGAATAATTGCAGAACTACGATTAGCTTGATCCAGGTGGAGGGTACGTAGGCAGTCGCGGTATAGTGACGCAGCTGGTTTGGCCTGGTTCTGGCCTGGATCTCTCTGGTGGAGTTCGTGGGGTTCTTCAGTTGTTCGTCCAAAATTTGAGGTTTATCAAATGATGTACGAGGTGGAGAATTGTGATAGGGTGGAGCCCACCCACGTGGGTCTGCCCACGCCCACGAGAAAGCCCGCCCACCGTTTTTCTTGCGCGCGCACGCAAGGACCACGTCGCCGCTCGCCTTGAGCCCAGCGCCTTCGTGCTCGAGCTGCTTCCCGCGCGCGCTTCTTTTCCCGCGTGTTTCTGCCCGCCTAAATGCCTCAGACCCGCCCCCCTTATTTCCTATAAATAGAGGTGTTTGTGTAGTGAATATGGGTGGGGAAAATATTAAGTGGGGGTAAAAATCTCAAGAGGAGTTTTTGAGAGAAAAGAAAGAGAGGAAGAGAGAACTTGTATAAGTTTGGTATTTTTCCTCCATAGTGAAATCCCCTCTCGTGGACGTAGGCTAGTTTGCCAAACCACATAAAAATCTCGTGTTTGTATTTGTCTTATCTGTGAGTTGCCATAGCTTGTAGGTTCCCTTGATATTTCAGTCTTTGAACTGATGAGAGGAAGAGTGTATATTTCACTTTGATGAAATATATCACTTACGATTCTTGTTTCCTTTGAGAAATAAGAATTTCACTATCTATTCTCGTTTCCTTTAAGAAACAAGAATATAGAGGTTGACTTGTGCTTTTGTGATAACGAAAGCCAGGGCTCTCTCTCAGGTGATAACGCTTCCGCGGCGGTGGGCGTGACTCCGCCCCAACAGTAAGAAAATGAATGCACCCGTAAGACAGAGTTTGCTCCTATTAAGGAAGGAACTAGAAGTCATGTCTCTAAAAATTTAAAAATTGGGTCACGTTTGCATCATTAGTCTTGATTTCTTTCTTTATATACTTCAAGGGGAAAAAAATGAAAAAAAAAAGATCATCACTTAAAATAATTTTGAGAGGAAAAGATCTACTTTTTTCCTTTAAAGAGAAGTAAGTAGGATCTGTCACTTCTTTCCTTAACAAATAGATACAGGGACAAAGTTTCTAGAGTGTAACATAAGCAATATGAATGATGTTATG